CTCCATCCAAACCCAAAACACCGAGCCACAACCCCCCATCAAATCCACCATTTCCCACATCATTGACTCCTACTCCGACATTTTCACTACACCTACCCACCTACCCCCACAAAGACCAACCAACCACCACATTCACCTACTACCAAACACAAAACCAGTATAGGTACGACCATACAGATACCCTCACTACCAGAAAAACGAGATTGAAAGGCTAGTATCCGAAATGTTACAAGAAGGAATAATTCGTCCCATCCGTTCTGCCTACAGCTCGCCAGTACTACTGGTAAAGAAAAAAGACGGGTCTTGGAGATTTTGTGTTGATTACAGAGCTCTAAACGCAGTAACAGTACAGGACAAGTTCCCCATCCCAACCATTGACGAGCTACTAGACGAACTACACGGCTCAAACATTTTCTCAAAACTTGATTTGAGGTCAGGATACCACCAAATACTGATGCACCCAGATGACATTCACAAGAACGCATTCAGGACACATCATGGCCACTACGAGTTTCTAGTGATGCCCTTCGGACTATCCAATGCCCCGTCCACCTTCCAAGCAACCATGAACGAAGTATTTGCAGCTTTCATGAGGCGATTTGTTGTCATATTCTTTGATGATATACTAATATACAGTCCAACGCTGCAAGCACATGAAGAACATCTGGAAAAGGTACTATCTACTCTAAGGCAACACTCTTTCTTTGCAAAGAAAAGTAAATGTCTGTTTGCTAGAGAAACAATACAGTTCCTAGGACACATAATTTCTGGGAAGGGTTTGGCTCCGGACCCTGAGAAAATCAGTTCGATTGCAAATTGGTCACGTCCTACTACTGTTACACAAGTTCGAGCGTTTCTAGGTTTGGCAGGGTATTACAGGCGATTCATTAAAAACTTTGCATCCATAGCTGCCCCCCTAAGTGATCTGTTATCAAAAACCGGCTACAGTTGGAGTGACAAGCAAGAAAACGCGTTCAACATCCTAAAGGGACTCTTGACTACGGCTCCAATTTTAATCTTACCAGATTTTTCACTACCTTTTATTCTAGAGGCTGATGCTTCAGGAATAGGAATTGGAGCAGTATTAATGCAAAATAACAGGCCTATTGCATACTATAGTCGCAAGTTATCCCCATCCATGCAAAGGAAGTCAACCTATATCCGTGAAATGTATGCAATCACATGCGCCGTATCAAAATGGAGACAGTACCTACTGGGATCGACATTCATTATCAGGACAGACCATAAAAGTTTGTTCCACCTGATGAAACAAGTGGTACAAACACCAGAACAACAACAGTTCTTGTCACAGTTGTTGGGGTTTTCATACACAATAGCATACAAATCTGGAAAAACAAATGCAGTTGCAGATGCCTTATCCAGATTCCCTGAAGGGAGTAGCGAGCAACCCCAATCAGAGTTATCTATCATCACCACACCAACATGCAATATCACAACCACACTGCAACAGGAATTAACATAGGATACCTACGCTATTACAGTCATCCAAGGGCTTATTACAGAACCAAATGAATGGACAGAATGGAAAATGCGAAATAAAATTTTGCTACATAACTCCAGAATCTTCATCCCAGAGAAGTCATCGTTGAAGGAGAAATTGTTGCATGAGTTCCACGGAACCCTACTGGGGGGACATTCGGGAGTGCAAAACACATTCATGCGCCTTAACAAAGTATTTACCTGGAAAGGAATGAAGGGAGACGTCAGGAATTTTGTCAAAAACTGTGAGGAGTGCCAGAAAATAAAACCCCAAAATCACCCACCATATGGCCTACTACAACCAATCACGCCACCAGACACAAATTGGACAGATTTAACAATGGACTTCATAACCCATTTACCTAACTCTAACGGTTTCTGTGTTATTTTTGTTGTAGTTGACAGGTTATCCAAAGGAGCACATTTCATACCTTTGCCGGCACATTACACGGCAGCAAAAGTTGCCAAGGCGTTCTGGGAATCGGTGGGAAAGATCCATGGTTTTCCAAAAACAATTATCTCAGACCGCGATCCCATCTTTTTGAGCAACTTCTGGAAATCCATGTTCCACCTACAAGGAACAAATCTTAAATACAGCTCGGCCTATCACCCACAGACCGACGGACAGACTGAAAGAGTAAATAGGTGTTTGGAACAATACCTACGCGCCTTCGTGCATGACAACCCGAAGACTTGGTCCAGCATTCTCAGCTTCGCGGAGTTTCACTTCAATACGTCGTTCAACCGATCGACGGGGTTCACTCCTTTTGAAATCACCTTCGGCACCCCCCACCGAATCTCCTAGCATACTGTTTAGGTGGCAGCAACTTGGAAGCCATAGACTCGGACCTCACAACAAGAAACAAATTCATGAGTAACCTCACACAGAATCTACAAAGAGCACAAGCCAAAATGAAAGCTTACAGTGACAAAAAACGAAAGGCTTGGGAGTTTCAAGTAGGAGACCTCGTTCTCCTTCGTCTGCAACCTTACCGACAACTGTCAGTGCACCACCGTAGCTCCCAGAAGCTGGCGTTACGCTACTACGGACCTTTCAAAGTACTGGAAAGAATAGGAACCGTGGCGTACCGGCTAAAGCTCCCCGAATCTTCACAGATCCACCCGGTTTTCCACATTTCACTGCTGAAACCCTTCAACTCCTCCACAAAATTTCAAGTTCATCGGTTCCCTGAGCGAGCAAAAGAAAACAAACCGATGGAAACCATCGTAGCTGTTCTAGGTGAAAGAGAGGTATGGAAACGAGGAAACAAGGTAAAGGAAGTGTTGGTTCAATGGTCTAACTCAGTTCCAGAAGACTCCACTTGGGAAGAGGAACGTTTGATTTACGAAAGAAGAATGAAAAATGAAAACACGTCTCTCCAACCAACGGATACAATGCAAGCCTCGGTCTCTGCTCCCAAGGCAATAATGACTCCACCCACTACATCACAGCTAGCAGCGCAGAGTGAATTATCGGCCACGCGTCAGCAGCTCATTGCGACGCAATCTCAGCCGAACCTTATCCATGAGGACATGGATCCTTCGCAAGCAGGAGGGAATGTAGCGGCCCAATATCCAAGTAACCGGTCCACACGCACGAGGAAGAGCCCACCATATCTCAAGGGCTACGTTCGCTAGTCTTGGGGCTACAGAGACAGAACCCAACAGCATTAGGATTATTATTAGATAATTATTTAAATTCAAGTTGTTATCAAATAAAGCTATTAGTTGGCTAATTGATAGGATATCTCCTAAACTTAGGATTAGTTGTTATTTGCATTCTGTTATTTCAATTACTGATAGGATTAGTTGTTATTTGCTTCTGTTATTTGAATTACAGATAGAGACTAGGATCTCTATAAAAACGTCAAACACAAGGATGAATGGAGAGCAGTGATTTGACAAAATTTCTTCTTCCTTCCCTTTTCCAATTTTCCCTTCCTCTAATCTTCTCTATTCCCTTTTTCCTTTCTCCTTCCAACAGTCTAGCCCTTGCTCTTGCAGAAAAGGGTATATTTATCACAAGTGTCGATTTCTCCGAGGAAAAGGGAAGATAAGTCGCAACCCTTGTTGAGAAAATTCACATCAAGTTTCATTCTAAGTTAAAATATCCATCTGCCATGTTTGTGAAATGTGATGTGACTAAACGCAAGTGGGCTAGTGTCTATTAGCAAAACATACAACATGCTGGAAGTTGGAACTGCATGCTTATGGGCTCTCTATAAGCTTCTCATCAAACCTTACTTTGTTCTTCCACAGCGTTTATAGTGTTACCATTTTGTGTAGTGAAGTAACATCACTCAACAGGAAGTTAGTTACAAAGTTATTCAATTTAGAATGAAAACGATAAATTTTCATAACCTAGAAAAATGTATTTTGTTTTCCTTGTGTTCTATATATTATGAAGTAGCATAAGATATGCAGATAAATGTTGTAAGTCATCAAATGAAAGGGTTTTTTTTTATTAAAGTATAGCAACTAATTAATTTTTGCTATGCTTGCAGAATTCGTTCCAAGTGACATAGATTGTGGACATCAAGACATGGGTGATGAGCATTACATCTTAATTTTGAATTTTGACTAATGTCTTTTTGTTGTCTATATTCCTGAATAATAAAAGAATAAATTCTTTATTTGTAGTATTCTTTTGAGCTGAAAAACTATTTATGTGTTAGATTAATTAAAAACGAAGGCGCGTGAAAAGATTTTCTAAAAGCTCTGCTAGGGTTTTCGTTAGTTCATGGTGGTGAAAGAGGGAAAACCCCCCATATCTGAGGGGGAAGCAACAATCATCAAAGAATCCAAGAAGGCGAAGAGGGATATAGGAATGGATCTGGAGATGCATGTAGAATCTTCGATTGCTGGCACAATGAAGGTTGAGGAAGACAGAATGAAGCATTCGATAGAGGTGGAAGTGACAGAAGCAGATCTAGGGAAGGAAGAGGAAGTGAGGAGAGATCCTCGGAAGCTGGTGTCGTATAAGGACCATCTGCTACGAATCAATGGTGTTTGGGATGGGATTCAGGGGGAGGAAGATGATTGGCTTGCTCAATGCAAGCAAGTGGAAATCGAGGAAGAGGAAGCGATGAAAGTGTACGAGCAGATAAGGGACGATGATCCATTAAATCCATTCTACTAGTTTGATGTGTTGGAGAAAATGGAACAGTGCAAAAGATGGAGGAAGGCGTTGATAGTGAAGCTCTTGGGAAAAGACTAGGAGCAAATTTTCTTTGGAATAAGATTCATAAGTTGTGGAACCTGGAAGGGGATTACGAGGTACTGGATCTGGAAAATGACCATTACATGGTGGAGTTTGAGAAAAATCAGGATTATCTATTCGTTCAGCAACAGGGACCATGGATAGTGGCAGATCACTATCTCATAGTGCAAAAATAGAGGCCCAATTTCAATCCCTTCGATGACAGAGTTAGAAAACTGGCGGTATGGATCAGAATACCAGGAGTTCCTAGGGAGTTCTATACTACAAAGACCTATGGAGAATGGGTAATATGGTGGGGAGAACATTGAGGATTGATGAAAACTCCTTAAGGATTAGTGGACAAGGGCAGCTTCAAGATATTACTGATAGAGGCAGGTTTGTGCCCATTTGTGTTGAGATAGACTTGAGTAAAAGTTTTCTTTCAAAGTCTAGAATCAAGCAGAGGCAATTGCTCATTGGCTACGAAGGATTGCATATGATCTGTTTCCTATGTGGCCAGTATGGCCATAGAAAGGACAAATGCTTGCTTAATCTAGAGAATATGAAAAAAATAGAGGAAGATACTGGAGGGGAGAAACACTGTGATAATCCTGATCATAGTCATGTTGAAGAGTCAACGAAAGAAGAAATTGAGAAGAGTCAAGAAGTCAATGGATTTGGAAACTGGATGACAGTCCAGAGAAGGAATAACAAGAGAATAGTTCAGCTGATGAGAAATAAGGAGATATACACAGGCAAGGAGAAGCACGGGTTAGAGAATAATGGTAATAGTCAGTCAAATAATGTCTCAGAATCCAAATTCGGCCTTTTGGAGAAAGAGACTGAAGAAAGTTTTCCAAACCAGAAGACCGATGTCGCAGAGGAAGAGGTTAATAATGGAAAGAATGCTGGGGAGTCAAGCCAGAATAGAAGAAGTCAAGGTGGAAGAAAGAAAAAGAATAGTACTGATAAGAGCTATTTGAAACAGGGATATGGAACCGAAGTGAAGGAACCTAGAAAACAGGTGTTGAAAAATCAATTACCAGATCCTTCAAGGGATCAAACTCTCAAGCTATCCAGCAAAGAAGTCATTCTGGTCAACAGGGGATCATTTGGGGGAAGACCACATGGAGAATCTTCACTCTGTTCTAAACCACCAGTTATGAAGGAAGCTCTGATGGAGATCAATAGAAGTGAAGCAGAAAGCAAAAATAAACCTACTCCTATGCTGAAGGAATATCCACCTGATGGGGGAGGTGGAGGAAAAAATATATGCCAAGATGAAAGAGTAGCGATGACTTTAGATGATATCACTAATGCTGCTGGTATCAAGTGAAAAACCAGTGAGATGGTTAGCTTGAGGTTGGTTTCTTTACTCTTTTATGTCTGTTTTCATGATAGTGAGTACTTGGAATTCTAGAGGAGCAGGAAAGAAGGGCTTTTCTGCTTTTATTAAAGATTTTGTATCCCAAAATACGATACAGGTGTTGGCTTTGTTGGAAACTAGGATCAGTGGGAAAAAAGATGAGAGAGTTATTAGATGTTTAGGTTTAGACAATTTTTATATAAAAGATTCTATAGGATTCTCTGGGGGTATCTCGCTTTTATGGTATAAAAACTTGACTAATGTACATATTATAGAGGAAAACCATCAATTTGTTCACTCCAAAATCTGTTGTTAAGTTCTGGGGTTGAAGAGCTATTTACTTTCATCTATGGTAGTCCTAGGAGAGCTGAGAGGAAAACTCTATGAGATAGTTTAAAGAGGATTGCTGTAAATGCTGTTGGTAAATGGGCTGCTATGGGAGATTTTAATGCCTATTTGGAGGTAAGGGAGAAACAAGGAGGAGCTGGGGCTTGTTGGGATAGTATGAAAGAATTTGATATCTGCCTCAGTGAATGTGGTTTCTCTGATTTAGGCTTTTCTGGCCCAAAGTTTACCTGGAGGTGAGGAGCTCTGTAAGAAAGGATTGTGGTGAATGAAGAGTGGCATAGGAGCTTTCCTAATAGATATATTGGTCATCTTCACTTTTATGGATCTGATCATAGACCCATGATGCTAAAAGATGGAAGTGGAAGTAGAACCACTGATGGTCCTAAACCATTTAGGTTTCTGGCTGCTTGGTTGACCAATACCAGCTTCAGGGATGTGGTGGATAATTGCTGGAGTAAGGATGCTGAATGGATTTTTGCAAAGAACAAATTTCACAAAGAAACTTTTACTTAGCATTATGGCAGATTTAAGGAGGAACAAAAAAGGAAATTCTAGATTCAAAAGAGACTTAGGGGGTGGATATTCAGCTTAATAAAGGGCTAAATGAAGCGATGGAGAGACTTCACAGAGACCTTTGGCAGGAGCTGAATGCTATATACATCCAAGAGGAACTTACCTGGTTCCAAAGGTCCAGATGTAACTGGCTGGCCTTTGGAGACAAGAACTCTAGATTCTTCCATGCATCTACTATGGCCAGAAACAAAAGAAATAAGGTTATGACTCTAAGAAAGGAGGATGGAGTTTGGGTGGATGACCCAGAGGAACTCAAATTAATGGCTACTAATTTCTTTAAGAATCTGTATGTGGAGGAAAATCAGTGTATCTCAAATCTCTGCATTGGAAATATGTAACATCCCGCGAATTTAGGAAGTATATAATTAGAGTGGAATTGATTTGATTTAGGAAAATTGCCTTAATTAATATTATAGGTGAATAATATATATATATATATATATATATATATATATATATATATATATATATATATGTCTTAAGAATTTGAAACCCTAGTTAAAAGTATAGGGCTAATTGTATTACAACATGTAAACATTTTAGTTAATAATTTAACGGCACATGAAACAATAAATAGGGGGTTAGTACATGTGGTGATTGATCCTTTAGGAAGCTTATTCTTTGGACCTTTGGAGCCTTAAGGACTACGACCCAAGAGCCTTGAGAAGGGCTTAAGTTTAGCCTTAACCTATAACTAATCCTCACACCTTATCTTAAATAAATCTACAAGGTTGCCATGCATTGGTTAAGTAGTAACACATGGCAAAATCTCATCCACTCTTGTATTCCCTTTCATGCGTATAGGTTGAGTAAGAAATTCTGATTGTTTGTAACTTTATCCAACCCCAAGTCAGCCTTGCCTAACATGCAGCCAATGAGGAATGAGTAGTCAGCTTGCATGAAACTCTATTGGCCGAAAAACACACACTTCCACCTTATCTCTTCACCTTGTTAGCGCATAGGAGGAAAACACAATAGGAATTATGGCCATTACCTTCTAAATGAAAACACGACACCATTCCTCTCCCCTCATCCTCCAGGAACACAAAGAAATAAAATTTCATCCACCTCTCATCTCTTTTTCCCCTAAAACCGTGACCGTCCAAGATGAACACCAAGACTTAGTCTGCACTTATTCTTCTCTCATTTCCTCTCATTGCCGTAAGCTACTTAGAGGAGGAACACCAAGAAATATCGTGAGCCTCATAGACGAATAACAAAAGCTTCCTTTTCCTTCCCTGTGTCACTCGACCGAGTTGCAACCAGAGGAGGTATTGTGCCCTCCATCTTCTTGTTTGCTGTTACTCTTTTCATTTTGGTGGAGACCGCCCTGCATGCAGATTGAAATTTGAACACCCATCATCACTTTTCTGCTTTCCTTGAAGTTCGATCGAGAAACCTTATTCAAGGAGATGATGTATTCTCTTCCTCCTCCATCCCTGTTCATCTGAGAAGTAACATTCAAGGAGGTGGGATTTTCTTTATCTCCTTGCTCTCCTGTACATGCATCAATTCTGATTGGGGTTTTTCCCCTTTGCATGCAGCCCCAAATTCGTTTTCTTGAAGAGTAGAGGGGGAGGAACTCGTGCATCATTGGACTGTTACCTCCTATAGTCGAATGGTGAGCCTTGGAAGCCTTGCAAGTAGATGTAAGTCTAGCATAAAAACCCTTCCTTGTTCTTTACATGTTCGGCCCTTACTTGCATGTTAGGAGAATAAATTATTATGGCTCTTGCTCCTCCTTCAATTCGGTCCTTATGAACAGCTTAGGATTTATTGCATGTGGGCCAAAGCTGAATTTTTGTGAAATTGGAAAATGGTTCTCTTTTCATTTTGTTGGACTGCACCTTTGATTAACCAAATTAATTCATTTTTTTGCATGTATTAAACTTAGGTGTACAACATGCTTATAAGCCCTTAGCGCACCGTAGGTCTTGTAGAAAATGTTATATAAATGAACAATTCTAGGTAGGTACCTAGTAGTGGGCAGAAAACTGATTCCGTATATGTTGAATTTTTCGCGGTTACTCGTTGGCAAATTAATGTGAAATCAGAAATTTGTTTAGGGTAAAAAGCATGATAAAACTGAATTGGTAGACATGGGAGAACCTAGGATTTTGTTAATGTTACAAGTTAGAAGAATTGGTAAGAAGTCAGAAAATTAATTTGTATGAGAACCTTGAAAACCGATTATATACATCGGTAAGGGGTATAGAAATTATCGTGAATTTTAGGAAATATTATTCAGAATCCTGATTTGGCGTACTGGTATACTAGGTGCGCAAAAACCCCTAAGAGCGTGGACTGACTTGGTGCTGTTTGATTAATAATTGGGCACACACGGTAAGTGTTTGGTGGTGAAACCTATTGTGACTATTAGCTAGTGTATGGAATTTTGAACTGTTGCTCACATGTGCCTTGGATTCGTATTCTGATAAATATTATTTGCAATCTGCCTTGGACTTGACATGATAGAAATTCTATTTTGGAAGTATTTGTTATTCGATATGTTGTTATTGAAAATCCATGATAAACATGGTACTTTGACTCTGATACTTAGTCATGATCATGGTCATCATAAAACTACATTTCTCATGTGTGTGTGAAGCCAATCATGTCATAGCATACAACATTGTACATTCAGTTTGGAAACCGAAGTATATAATAAAAGTAAGCATATGTTTGAGCACGCATCATATAGGCATCCCTCCAGTACCAGGGTATGGGACACTTGGCTTCAGTCCGCATAGGTCACAGTTGGAATTCCCCTCTGATGGAGCCAAAACGGAATATCCACTGTGTCAGTTAGTAGTACGTGCACTGCAGTGCTATGAACGTACATTACTCTGGCGTTATATACGCATCTTGATTAGTACTCTGGCGTTATATACGCATTCTGATTAGTATCCTGACGTTACATACACATTCTGATTCCGATTTAGCATCTGTCTGAATTTAAATGTTGAGGTGACTGTTTTAGAATTTTGTACCTAGACTGATATTGTTGCAATACTGGTTTTGCTATCACACTACTGGGATTTTTCTCACCCCTTCGGGGGCTCAATTTTTATAAAATTGCAGGGGGACGAAGAAGCCTATGATGACACTGTTATTTGGGATATTTGCTGTTGACTTCTGCTGTTTGTAATTTCTGTTGTTGTCTGCTTTGTCTATTGGATGTTGGCTGAGTATTTTATATTGGTGTAATATTTAGGAAGACAGAATACTGTTGGAACCAAGTTTTAATTCGCCGTATTTTGGATTTTTACTTTCAGTCGGTACATGTGTAATTCTGCTGTTAAATTGTCAAAACACTTGCTGTCTGTTTTAAATTCAGATTTTTAAACTGATTTAGCGAGCACTTTGCGAGTTCTATTTCTGGGGCTACAGACCTCCGATTGACACATAATTTATATGCACGTAAAGCTCCAGATGTCTAGTTTCAGATTAAATAAACTTATTGCCAAAATTATGAAGGCTCGATTTATTATGATTTTTGCAAGACAGACAGGGTTTTCTGGAAAATTATTAATTCAGCAAGCAATGTATTTTGTAAATTTTCACCCTGTTTCGAGAACAACCAGATTTCAAATATAAAAGTTTAATTAGTGACTTGAAAACGCAGTTCATTATTTAAATCAATGATGTTATGACTCTAATCCGCTTAGCAGACATCTCCCTTGGATGCATACAGGGGAGGGTGTCACACTAAATGGTATGAGAGCAGTTTTGATTCAAGGTGTCTGTATTTGATGAAATGTTTGTTGTTTGCACTTGGTTGTTGGATTGTTGTCGTTTGAATATATTGGTTGTTGGTATATTTTTGCTGAATTATTGCTGTTTGGATATAACTGTGAATTGGTTGCTTTACTGTGTGTTAGAATTACACTATTCAACCGCTGATGTTTGAATATGATTATTGAATTGTTTGCTAGCTGTTTTTGCATTATTCTTTGTGCGTGTAATGGTACTTGTGGTGTCCGGTGTTAAACATGGTTATGCACACTTCAATGCTAGGTGAGCCTGATCAACTCACCGCCATGTATGAC